ATTTTTCTTCTCAAGATCTCTAGCTGTGTCCTGCTTATTCTGCTGCTTTGAAAATGGCATGGGAAGGAACTGCTTAACACTGGGCCCAGGCTGTTTTAGGAAAGCTCCAGTTCTTCTGGCCAACATGTCATCTCTTTGTGGGTCTGGAAATTTCACTTTGTTTTCTGTTCCACCGCTCTGCTGCTGCGGGATTTCAGGCTGTTCTTGGCTCTCTTCTCGTTTGACAGTACTGCTCAGAGAGACAAGTGACACTGTTCCATGATAACGCTCACTTGTGCAGCCCAAAGGCAAGCGGCTGCTGAGGCAACGTGGGGTACTGTTACTCAAAACACAGTTGCGGAGTGATGGACAACTAGGCATCTTTAGCTACAGCGCAGGGAGTGAGAGCAAGAGGAAACTATGTTGAATGCCACACTTATGTAGGTAATACGTTAGAAGTTGGGAATTGCATAAAAATGTATGCGAGGAATTATTCACTTGGAAGCTAGCATAAAAGTCTGGACAAAGCACCATTGATTGCAAAAGAAATCCCCCCAAAAGATGAAAGACTGTTTTCATGCTGAACAACAATTAACAACTGAAGTACTTCAATATTATTGAAGAAAACAGACTGGTTTATGTTCATAGGATACATTCTTGTAAGTAACTTCATAAAACAGAACACATGCTATGATGAATGAGTAAAACACATCTTTAAAGGCTGTGTGAAGAATGGAACAACATTGCTGACTGATCCGACCTAACACCACACACAAACCAGGCATGAGGCTCAGAGGGATCTGTTTCTGTTTTCTGACCTTTCTGCTTCCCGTGGAGTCTTCAAATCCTTCTCACAAGCTACTGCCTCCCCTTGCCGCTGCTGCAGCAGATGAGGAGCTACTGACAGGGGAGGACAATGTATGGGAATGGGGCTAGTGGTACGCCTCGGAAAAGTTCCCATCCTTCTAACCAACATATCATCTCTCTCAATGTCTGGTAAATGCCCGACGCAGTCTTCCTCGGTGCTTTCTTGCCGTTTGTTCAAACTGCACAGGGTTTGTTTCTCAGAGACGATGCCAAAAGCCGGGACAGGTGATAGCATTCTCCTGCAAGAGTCATCTGTATCTGGCATGGCTACCTCACTAACGATGTGACTGAGAGGAAGGGTGACAGACAAAACACGCTCAGGTCAAATGAAAGGAAGGAAGAGGACTCCTCCAACTCAGTTTGCAAATGTTTTATAAACACACAAACTTAACTGAATTAATTGCTCGCTAAAAGCATTCATTAAAAATTCTTGCTACAGCCACAGACTAAGCGATTAAAGAAAAGCCAAATAAATGTAAACTCTGTTAATACGTTAACTTCCCAGAGCTGTAATTCTCCTCCAGATAAATGCCAGAAACACAGAGCACCAATACACCTTGGTTTCAGCATTACATCTTCAAAAAGAAAGTAAATCCATTAGGTTTAAAGAAAGCATTTTTTGAACATCAGCAAGACCAGCAAGCTGAAGGACAAATTCCTACTGCGCTGAAAGCAGGCAGAGCAAAGCTGCTGGAATTCAAGAAGCAGAAAAAGCTCAAATGACAGCTCAGACTCTGAGATACCAGTGATTTCACCGCTCATCAGAAATTCTGAGGCAAGCTCTCAGAAGACCTTTGCACAGCGTTGTTTTGCATAACCCTAAACATGTTAAGATACTGTGAAGGCGTCAGATGACTTCTGAACAAGGCCGTGCGTGTAAACAGCTCTTAGGTCTATGCTGCAGTCCACCCCCATGCAGATCAGCATCTTGCAAGAACAGGTCTCATTTCCAGCTCAGCAGCACTTCCTGAGCCACACCAAATACCTGGATTCATTCTGTGGCTTAGATACTTCATCGCTGTGTTCAGCAAACCCAAGACTGCCAACAGTGGTTGAAAGAGAGCTTTCAACAGCAGAGTGATTCTCCACACCGTCTTTCTTGCTTTCCTCTTCTGTTCTATTTTTGGATGAAGCTCTGCCAATAACGAGCTTGTCCCATTTCTGTTGATCAATCTCAGTTACTGGCCCAAAATGCACAAACTTCTGCTTGGGGCTACCAGCCTTTTTGTTTGCTCTGGCTTTGCGGACAGCAAAATCATCATGGGCTGCTGCTTTCACCATGATTTCAGCTGGTGGCAGAGTGTCACTGGGACATTTGAAATCTTCTTCACTAGTATGAATGAGGAATAAAAGAATCCCCCCCAAATAAGACCCCAGAATAAAGCAGATTAAATGCTCCTAAGGTTTTGGAGGGTTTTTATTTTAAAACTCAAGGACAAAAGTACAAACAGCTATGGTATACTGAGGCCCAAATGACAGATAAAATCCGAAGATACCGCAGACCTGTTGGGGAAACTCTGGGAGGACATCCATGGAAGCCCTTCCTTAGGGGAAGGAACGTAGCATACGGCCCATTCCAGATTCAGTTATTCACCCTAACAAAGCCACAGTTCTCTCATCTGCTCACACAGAACTGGGCCATGTGTTACATAGGACTGCACAATACCCACCTTGTCATGGGGGAGTTCCAGTGGCATGAGAGCACCAGGAAGGGCAATTCGCTTATCCTAAACCAAGGGGACTGAATCTTGATTTTAACAAATCACCTCAAAAGTAACGGAGAGAGTACTAACATCTTTGAGATGAGAGAATGATTGAGTTTTGATGGTTTGTATTAAAGCTAAAATGACACACAGTAACCACATTGTTAGAAGAATGCCTGAACAGATGGCCACCTGTAATTGGAAAATGGCATGCGCCTAAACAGGAAGGCTAGGAGTTGTTATCCTTTCCTACTGGAGTCACAAATCACCTGCATACATTATAGCCGACCTCCATAGGGAAACAGCTTAGAATAACTGCTTTATACTGGCTCCCTTTGTGGAGATTTAATTTACAATAAGAGCATGTCTACACCATACAACGAGGCTCCTGAAACTCCTGCTGCAGTGACAAACAGTGCTGGTGTATTTACTCAGCACTGGAGTACAATGCCATGCAGATATATTAGCTCAGATCTCAAAAGCAGTATAGCCACAATAACGCAAAGAGATGCTGATCCTCAGTTAATACCCCCAAGGTATAATGCCCCAAGTCCTGAAGATAGCTTGGTTAGCAGCAGCACAGTGCTACTGAGTTAGTGGTGCCACATGGACCTTTGTGCTACTCAACTTAGAGCGGCTTCAAAGCAGGTTGATCCATGAGACAAGAGGGACCTTTCTAATATGACGTTAAGAGTGTTCACTGGGGAAGTGACTGTGAAACTACTGTAGTAGTTCTAAATAATGGACACACTTTCATTTCATGATAGATAGATAGCATCCCTGTACAGATTTTGGACTCCTCCTGAAAATTTGAACAGGTGAGGACTGGTTGTCATCAAGGCATTCTTCAAAGTTTAAAACCACAAGCACACACAGTGGATCACGACATACTAAACATGCTTCCTAGGGTGCCAATCCTGTCCACAGGCAGAAACCGTACCTGGGCTCCCCTGACAGTTTCAATCTTTTCCAGGTCTCCAGATCTGCTTTTGTTATAGAGGCATTCACAAAAATCGCATCTTCTTGTAGCTGAGGAAGGGTACTTTGAGATTTCTGTTTAGCCAAATCATCTCTCTCAGTATCTGGCACTTTCACCTGCTGTTCCTCCTCTGACTCAGTCTTCTCAGTTTGCAGGAGTGGGTTCTCTTTGCTTGTCACTATTTGCCTCGTTGATGCCATATGCACCCGTCTTCTTCTAATTTAACGCACATTCAAGGTCAGCAAGAAAAGGTATTTTGAGGGAGCAATGATAAATCAGTGTCAATAGAAGAGGTTCATAGCACAAGAAGATAAAACTGAATTTATAAGCAGAATAATTTTACATTAATTTAGGAAGTAAACATGGAATCATTTGAAGTTGAAACCTCTCATCTATGCTACCCCGCTCATGCACTATTGAGACTTCATCACATGACTTCTACTCCTAGCTCAAGCAAGACAAATATTTAAGTTAGTACTGTATTCAGCATTTCTGCAATAAGCTTTTGTCGTGGTTTAACCTCAGCCAGCATAAATAGTTACAAATATCTCATTTTCATATTATTAGCAAAGTGAATTCAAGTTTTGCTCGCAAGCATACTACAGAATTTCTTTGATCTTAGTCATGTCAATAGCATTAGAATATTAAAATTTGGTTATGTGCTTTTCAGATGCCCTGCCAAACTAGTCATTAGAAAATGTTTATATAAACAAATTACCAGCAGCTGAAAGGCACATTTTGCATTACTGAAAAGAGCTACTAGATATTAAGATAATTTTCTGAATGTATCAGTTAGTACAGTTAAGGTCCACTGTAATGTGTATATAGTGGTTTTATCAAGGATCACTCCTCTTTGCACAAATACAACAAATATACTTGTTTCCTGAAGAAGATGTGTGCCTAGTAGATATGTGTGTTCAGCAACTTCTTAAAGGTCTGTATCACTGAACTGAAGACAGAAGAGATTTTCTAGGCTGAAACCTCGTAAGCCATGCACCACTTCCAAAAACAATGCTATATAAGAAACATTAGGACTATGTGTAACACAATTTGGTGCAGTATAGCAGGTATAAGTCTTTAGTTAACGCACTGAATATAAAGTCCATGTTTTCTGCAGGGTATTAAAAGAATGGCATTAGATAGAAAAAATGCATCCAAAAATGTGCATTGAAAACGCTCAGCAAAAGAGCCGAGATGCAAAACATATCTTCTAAGTTTATTCTCCACTATTCATGCTCATGAGCTGAGATAACAAAAGTGTCTAGTCTTTATGTTATTTACACTCATAGTCAATTTAAGCTCCTGGTCCTAATAATCTAACAAAAAAATTACAGTAAGTAATCTACATCTCTTTTTTTGTTCACTTTATGATAAAGCATTTGCATTTACTTTAGCCTGTAAGTTTTTTGTAGCCAAGACAGCTCTAGTCCTACACAGCAATAAGCCATGTGAAATTAAGCATTATAATAGAAAGAAAAAGACCATGAATGCACACCTTGCATGTTCCTGCTTTTCCATCTGCAATGGCTTTTTAATGTCTTCCAGTTTACCTTTATCTTTACTTGTATAGGGTCCAAGTAAAAAGGAGTTAAACGGAACTATGTGTTTGGGTTGATTCATTCTGGCTCTCCGGGTGGCAAAGTCATCCTTTTCTAAATCAGGAACTCTGCTGGCTGCTTCATCTTCTGAACCAGAATCCTTCCCTTGGTAATGTGTCATGAAGGGGTTGTCCCTGCGAAGGATGATGTCTGGGGTGCTTCCGTTGTCTTCACATGTTGGCTTTTTACTGACACAGAGCAAAATTAAAGAAAGCTCTTGATGCATCAGGGGAGGAGAAGGGAGTGGCAGCACTCATCGCCAGGTCATAAAACAAGCACAGTTAATCAAAATATGCTTCAGGCTGCTGTTAGATTGGGCAAAGCCTTGTTATAAATAAAACTTATCATATACAGGTACATATATCATATACTTATCATATACAGCTACATATATCAAATCCGCAAGGACTTCACACAGAAAATCAGTAGGGTTGGATCTTTACTTATTTTAGCTATAGCTAGAACCACCAGTAAGAACTAGTCTAACATACTAGATGGAGTGAATGTAGTACTGTAAATGGTCGTATTAAACTTCTTGAACACTTCAAACAAAGAGATTTGATGCAAATACTTGATCCTTGGCCAACATTGCCAAATCCTGAAATACCAGACATTTGGCACTTTTTATTCTTAATGGCTCTATTTATTTTTTTTTTTTAAGACCTGAGTAATCACTGAGGGTGCTTACCCTAATATTCTTAACTGCTTTTCTTCTCACACACATCCACGCTTCATTCTCTCCCTAACTAGCCTTCCCTTTCCCCCAGAATAAGCCCTCTATGCCAATGCTGACATACAGTAGTGACAATAGCACCAGTATGCCAATGATACTGGCATATGCTGGAACACACTGCCGTCTGCCTTGGTCAGAAACGAGACTGATATCAACACAGCCTTGTTGTTACTGAAGATTACGACAATGAAGACCCTTGACAGCTGGCACCCAGAAAGATTAAGCTTATTTTAACCTGTAACAGTCAATACTCTTAAGCAAACTGAAAAGACAGATAGCAAGAGCTATGTGACTCTCCCATTTAAAAATCAAATTGTTATTTACTGATATTTTAGGAAGTTGGATACCAAATAGTAGACTGTTCCATGCAGTACTTTTGCAGGCTGCAAATACCTTGCATTTCCTCTTTCATACAGCACCACCTTGCTACACAAAGGGAAAAAGATGGTATCACAAAGGATTAAAAAGAGTGACATTAAGAAAGCAAATCTAAACAGCTCAGGGGTTGCTTCAAGTTTCTCTTCTATTTAAGAAAACAGTGGTGCTATAATTAGCTGCTTTTCTGAAACATTTTAAAGCCCTGCAAGCCCACTATACAAGCCACTTACTTTATGGCCCCAGCTGCCCTTTCAAAGTACTGCTCAACAAAGTTGCTGGAGAAAGTTATGGGGAAGCCATAAACCATCCCTGACAGGTCAGCCTGGCTCAGGCCTCGGAGGACAGAGGAGCAATATGAAAATGGCCTGCCTTCACCTTGTTACGCTGCAACACACAGGACCCCCGCCCCCCCGCCCTGTTAGCAATGTGGAGAGCATGCTCTCAAATTAGCCAAAGGCAACGTTGTCCTTAGATCTCTCTGCAGGATCAAGATATCATTTAAGGCAATAGACATCACTGGCAGACGGTGCTCCAAAGGGAGCTGCTGTCCCTCTCCCTCATGAGCACCTCTGTTCACAACAGCTTCAGAAACAGCTGGAACAGATGGCTCTGAGCTGCTGTTTGTGAGGTCTCAAAAGTACCTTTTAAAGTCACTTCACCATAGAGATAGCAAAGAGTGTAGATTTGAAGCTTGCAATGGACCAGAATTCCCTGCAGATTTGCAAATCGCTCTTGCATACCCAGACCCGGCCCTTGCAGAAACAACACACAGGTCCATGCTCATACAGCAGGTGCTTCCAAAGTGTCAGACCACGGGTGTTTGCGCTCACTGAAGCAGGGTCTCATACAGGTTTGTGGATCCTTCTATTGCATTTCAGAACAACGAAAGGGTTTTGCATACTTATGCACTGTCAAGATAAGAGTCCATGTCCCTTTTGCAATGAACGTGCCAAGGATTCTTCATTTGCTCACATTTCTCTCTTACCGTCCCCCTCTCCATCATTTATTAGAACAGACTTAATTCTCTTTCTCTTTTTAGGGAGTAGCCATGAATCTGATCCTTATCGTTCAGATACAACAGTGTAAATAAGACAGATGCAGACAACAAGCAAGCAAGGAGGATTACATATCAATAAAACAACGTGCTATAAAGAGACAATATACTCCTTTGGGAAGGGGGAATGCTTTTTGGCATGCATTTGTATAGCATCTAGTTCAATGGAGTCCTTTCCTAGAACATGTTACAGCAATGGAGATAAGTACTTCGATTCCAAGCAAAAAATGCATTTGCATACAAGTTCAAATCCTTCCTGTGCCGGACCTAGAAAGGTTCCCAACTGAGTTTCAGCTTTAGGAACAATTAGATGCCTTGTAGAACTCAAAGTCACAGTGGGTGTCCTCCAGAGGTCAAAATGTTGAGAGGAAACAGCCTGTAAACAACTCAGAGCAAGTGGAAGACGACTGACAAACTCAGGTGAAAAAAAGAGAGGCTGGCATCATAGAGAGATGAGGGAGTAAGAGGGGTTAAAGGAAAGAAAAAAAAAAAGATCAGAATACAGAAAGAAGAGGGACTGAGAATTGCTCAGTGCCATTAATGCACAGAAATTTGAATTTGATGCCAAGAAGAGAGAGACAGTTGAGAGATTCAAAGAACAGGGAATGAGGATGAGACATTAAGAGAGATGATCAAATGCTCCCTTGTATCCTGAAGTGTCACTACTGAACTCTTCCCTTCTCCTCACCCACTATTCTTCTATATACACATACAAATATTTTTCCTTAACAGACCTCTGACCCCAGTGCCTTTTCTGCTGTCTCCTCCTACAATCCCCAGGAACAGGCTCCTACTTCACTATGGTGAAGCTTGGGCTACAAAGCTCTGCTCTTTGACCCTCAGCTGGGGCAGAAAATCAGCAGCACCTCCTTCTTCCAGCTGCCAAATTGCAGGAGTTGCTTCTGCTGAGAGCAAGGAGGGAAAATGGCTTGTTATTTCTGTTCTCTTCTCCTTCAGCCCTGTCAGGACAACAGATTGTCCAAGGAAAAGAGGAGACCTGAGACACAAGCTATTACTATGTTTTACTGCATATTACTACATTACTAACATTAATGCTACAGCCTTGGACTCAGAACAGGATTATACTAGTATCCTACCAGTTTACAGATTCCTGATCAACTAGCACACTAACTCAGCCTGAAGGACTCATTTATGACTGATAGTTCCTCTTTGTTAGTATTTGGCTTTGTTAAAGTAGTACCCCACAACCACACACAAACATGTTCATTACAGCCTGACAACAGTGAAGCAAACCTGAGAAGGGGACATATGACAGTGTATATACTGTGACTGTTTTAACTGCATACGGCACATCTATATATGGCCGCAGACAAGCTTCGCTGTACCTATAAACAGGCTGTATCACATAAGAGCTGTACTTTTTACTACTACACTTCAAAGCCCAGACTGTAAACCAGCATCTGCTAAACTACTCACTGTCGGGATTTCACCCCACAATCCAAAATAAAATGTTTTAGACAGGAGGACATTTGGACACTTACCCTTTAGTCAAACCATTTTGATCATTTAAGAGCCTAGTCTTCTGATATGTCAGTTAAAACTCTGCTTTGTGGGCCATCCCCATGAGAAAGAGATTTTTCACGAGGACCCGATATCAGATGATGGAAAGGCATTGGCAGCGAGCCTAGCCATCATTCAGCTCTCGAGTTAAAGAACAGGAAATAACGAAATTGAACAACATCCAAAAATAAATAACACAAGTAATAGGTGAATAACTACTGATACTCCATGCCAAAGTCAGTCAAACTATGATTGCTGAACTATGCCTCCATGCTTTAACTGGTACATGTGTTAACAAGCACTGTACTTTTATAGTTCCTGCCATTAAAAATAAATGCATCATTTATTAACCCAGCTAAAAATATTAACCACCTCAAAAGTGTGGTTCAGGAAACTAAACCATTCCATCGGCAACAAGTAAAGTAAGTTTCCGAAACTTTTGCCTAAAAAGGCATTTTTACATTTTTAATGTACGTTTATATGTATTTTTTATTAAATGCAAGAAAGCATTAGGTGGAATGTGACAAGCAGTCTGTGTAGTAGTTTTCTTGGAGTCTGTTTACATTAGGCTGTAAGACGATACAATTTCTCAACACAAATGCAGTTAGCATCATACAACTCTGCCACATCACAAGCCTTTTCAGACCAAGACCTTCACTAGCAATTGTGAGTGCTTAGCAGACTGGATTTTTGTTAGAAGAAGTGAAATCACAGTGGATCGAGGAAACCCACACTTCAGCCAATCCTAAAAATGTGAAGCGTGCACAATTTCCCGCACTGTTGGGCTAACCTGCCATAGCGCTGGGCTGCTGACATGACCTTAATGCCAGCTTGTTCGAGTCTTCTTAACTTTCTGATCTCTTCTGCATCTTTCCCCTTGGGTGCTGATGTTTCTTTTGCACTACGTGAAGGAGACTGGTCTATGGAGTTTCCTTCGTTTTGATTCAAACCTACTTCATTTTTAAGGGAGCTTGCCTCAGGAGCCAGGGAGCCCACTTTCTCCTTTTCACACAGTCCTGATGTTTCATTCTGTTCTTCTTCTATGGTTTCAGGGTGGGGTTTGCTATTGAATTATACAAGGCAGTTTAATGTATGCTGTGCCTGAAACATATACACTTATTTATTATAAGCACATTTTGTTGATACCAAGACGCCAAAGGATATTCTGATGAATGATCCGGGAGGATAATTATGCACTTGAATGGAAGCTGCTTCTTAGGCCAAATCAAAAGTGAAATATCAGTTGACAAAACCAGCATGCAGAAACACATAGTCACAGCTATATAAACTGTACTGGTATATAGAATACAACATACAAATAAATTGATTTTAAAAAAACATAGCAAAAATATTACCTATTTCGACTGCATACATCGAACATTACTTCTAAATATCATTTGTCAGTGAGTAACTGTCTTGAGAACCGAGACAGATCATCCAGAACATTTTTGTCCAGCCTTGGGTTTGAGTCAACATCCATGGTACTTATATTAACCAACATCTTGTCAAACATAAGCTATACATTGCATTGTATGGTAAATAATGACATCAAGACAATGATTTTCCACTCATTGCTTTTCTACCACCTTCGCCTATTGCTACAAACAATTTATCAGTACCATCTCAGCAAGAGATTTACTACAGCAGAAGGCGCTTCATACATCTTATGAGAAGAACAGAAGTTAGGCAAGTGTTAAAGCATCATCACTGAGGAAGGGAGAAGTTGGACAGGCCAGTCTTACCTGAAAGGTCTGTCTCCTAGTGGTGAAGTCGCCGTGCTCCAGCTCTTTCGGTACTCTTCTCGTTCAGCTTTCTTTTTCCGAAGTGGAGCAGGTACATAGAAAGTCTGATTACTCTTGTTAGGGAGGTACTGGTTAAAAGGCACAGCTGATTTAGGTTCACCATGTGAGGTCCGCCTCGCCAACATATCATCTTTTTTCACATCTGGCATCTTTCTGTGTGGCAGGTCAGTTTCCGAGTCACTTCCTCTCCCTAATGAGGAAAGAGGAAAAAAAAAACCCTCTTCTTTTCACTTTCATCCATTATTTTTTTAAAAATTATAAATCAGAGAAGACACCACCAAAAAATTACATTTAGCATGTGAGCACCAAAAAATGAGGCCACTTTTACTTGTATTTATATTTTAAAATCAGTCACTGAAGGTAGTAGCCATAATATCTACACAGACAGTAACCATTTTTTTCCATCAACTCTTATTTTCTACCCCTGAAAAACTCATCTTCAGCCACAGGCCACATCAAAAAACTCAGGGTCAGATTAAGCCAGACTTGTCAATCACACAGGACAGCTACAGAAACTTACCTGACTAAAGCCCAAATGACTCCTAGTTGTACATATGGGTACGTTTGACCTGATTCACACTCTTTAACCTACACTTACATCTGCATAGCACAAGCTCAAGCAAAAAAGGGCTGCATACTGTATAGTTACAGAATGGCAGGAATCTGTGGATGTTTCTACACACACATATTAATGGCAATTTGAACGCACACAGCATCAGCTTTGATCAAAATCTGAGAATAAGCATCAGCTGCTATAAACCAGAAGACTCAGATGGTCTCTCTCCAGTCTCATCGGTTGCCTGGTCAATCAGTCTAGTACACTGCAAAACAGACAGAGAGACTTGATCCTCAGATGGGAAGGTGCAAGGAGAGAGGGAAGGGATCTCAGGATTTAGAGGTTAGATCAGTACAGCAAAGACTGAAGAATACTTGCTGGCAAAGAAAAGAAAGAAGGTGAGAGAGAAAAATTGAGAGTTACAGAGAATAAGATGGGAGATCAACAGAGCTGAGTGACTACTTTATTTTGTTCAAATGAACTAAGCTTCCGGATATTTACAACCCATTTAAAACACAGAAACTTAGGCAACATTTTTCCAACTTGAAAACAAAACACCCAAATGGTAGGACAAATACCTTAAAGAGCATTTGCAGTGGAACTGCCCTCATAGCCATTTTGGAAGCAACTTCATAGACATTCACTAGATTCCCTGCACCATCATGAGCCTTTTTAAGTAATTCACAAAGAAGATATGCAAATAGTCCTCTCCCAGCAGTGTAACATCACCACAGGCCCTGGTTTGATGAGTGAAACGGAGCATATTCATCCATTTCTCCCACCAGCATTCAAATCTTCTCCCAGCTTTGGAGCGTTGGATGTCTCTGGCCCTTGGCCCCTTTGTAACACTTGCATACGCAATAGCTGTTCCCCCCTGGGTGAGGGGAAGCCACCCAGGTTGCGTCCTCTTGCTAATTCACCACACTAGTAAATTACTAGCTAATTCACTGAGCTACCTAATGAACAACTGAAAACAATGAAGTCATAAAAATCACAAGTAGCTTGTGTATAATTCAAAGTGGGGGAAGGAAAAGAGGTCTAAATATGCTAGGAATGTTATTTGCAAAGAGCTTTTGCAGCAGATTGAGTTATTCAATGTTTGCTTGGAGAGAGACGAAGAAGAGTGAAAGGGAACAGTAAGAAAAGACAGGACACAATGGAAACAAGCTAGACAGACAAAAATCACAATGCACTTTTTGCCAGTAATCTTTTGCTTGAACAATTTTGGTTAAGAGCATATGATAACTAGCACCAGGATTGGTAACCTGAGTCTATGTCTAAACAAAAAGTGGAGACACAACCACAGAATCATGGGCGTCTGAGGATAGCTGAGGTTTGAAGAGCTGTAAAATCATTAGACTGAGCAGGGCCACAGAGGAGCTAAAAGAAAATGAAAAGATCCCTTCCTGTTATTTGCTATTCTGTTTGCTCTTGACTTTGTTCTGGTGTTTATTTTTGTATCACATGAAAACCAGTCTTGAACCGGCAGACAGAAATGCTGGAATAGAAAACCACAGTAGCAGAGGAATTAGAACAGATTCCTCTCCCTCATTACTGATGTGCCTACCAGTATCCCCAAGTTGAGTACTTCAAAGACAAACAGCTTCTTTAATTATTCATATTTTACTCATGAAAATATTTTCAGCTCAAATTTGCAAAAAAAGCACTTGAAGTCAAAGCACGGAATGGAAGATGCAGCCATGCTCTACATTTATAACCTTAACTTTGTTGTTCTGCATTTCCAAGTAGAAGAAGCAGCAGCCAGTTTCCACAACCCATAACAAGCAGTTATACACCACAGATGCACACGGATCCTTCGTACAAGGATCCGTGCGCAACTGCCGGCCAAGCAGAGGATTTTATTCATTCCTGAGAACATTAGCAACTCTACGGGCAGGTCAGTCCGCAATTCTAAACAAACTGTTGCATTTTAAACAAACTGTTCTGCTCTACCATTGGTTTTGTTTGCTTTTTGCCAAGGGACAGGGTCTGCACAGGACACCAGAGCAGTTTCTAAACATTGGGGCTAATCACAGTTGGCATTTGTGAAGGCAGTATTACTTATTGCTTCCACTTAAACTAATCATCACCTTAGGATCACTGAAATGATCTCCATTCATTTATTTTTTTCTTCTAGGAGTGGAAGGAATCATAGTTTTATTTCGCTATCATATTATTGGGTTTACAAAGCTCCTATCTGAACGGAGGGAGAAGTAATGCAAGCAGAACCTTTTCCTTCATCCAGCTTTGCATATACATTATTTCTATCAAAACTACATGCAGCTGAGCGAAACACTGGCCTGCTGGGGCCACAGGAAGAGGTTCAACAGAAAAGAGGTCAGCCAAGCTACACCTCACCTGCAACTCTTGGAGGAGACAGCTGTGAAGTTATGGCAGCAGCAAGCAGGGAAAATGGGACATACTAGAAAGGGCCAGCTAGACAAGTCATACGTGTGCACACAGCATCTGCATGCACCCTGGGTCTGGATATTGTTAAAGACTAATTTTCAAGAACAAGCTTTGAATGCTTGCATCTTATTTTGTGTTTGTTATGGACTCAAGAATGTGACAAGATAGTATGTCTTAGCTGTGGCAAACAACCAACCACAAAACCTCACTAAAATCTGCTAATACAGCAGAAGTTGATAGGAAGCAGCTACAGGACATATGTAACTGGCTGCCCACCAGCTCCACGTAGGCAGGGACACTGGACACTCCTTGAGCACCCAGGATGGAGCAACACTTCTTGATTAGGACATGTGAGGTGTGCCTATTTGCCAACACCACACTTCTGTCTCATTTGGGAAGGCAGAAAAATGTTTTGTCATGTGGAGACTCTGCTCTGTTCAGTGTCTGAGGGGGCACGAGGCTGTTTCAGGGAATCAGTCCCAGTAGCTGGTTCTGGATGGTCAACCAGCAACAGCCCCAATACCACAGGCCACTCAAAACAGTAGAGCAGATCTTAGCCCTGCTTTCCCCATAGCTCTTTCGTAATTCAGCTGTGATACCAGCTATCCCTGCCAGCTTTTCAGTTTTAAGGAGTTCCCCATCACCTCAGGAAATCTCTCGTGTGTCCGGTTATGATTACCACCAGTTTCTTTCACACTGCCAAAGGCAGTATGAACATCTGGTTCCTACCAAAAAGTCTTTCTGCCCTTCCTTTTTTTATTAAATAAATAACATTACTGAGGAGAAGTGATTCATGTGTGGAACATAACTTCATCGTCAGATGAAACATTGACTGATTCATCCATTCATCGGGAACGTAACCATGCAGAGGGAGTCTCAATCAAGCATCCTTTTGTTCTGAACAAGAAATCCTGCTCACAACAGGTAACCTAAGTGCATGCTCCACACCTACCCCTAGCAGATCCTTCCTCATTCAGCATGCTGTGTTTACAAGCCTCTGGAAGTCTCTGGGAATCAGACAAGAAAGGTAGAGAAGCAGCACCCCTTCTGTAAGCCTAGAGCTGCATGTCCTCACTCAAATGTGTACAAAGATGGCCACAGCTCTGATGCTGGGAGCTATTAATTTACCCAATTTTCTAAATACCATGAAAACAAATATGACATTTGGTAAAATGTTGTACATCAGACTTCAAAACGCTGTCAAGTATCAGACATTTCCAAGATATTTCTGTCATTTATCTGCCCAGGGTTTACTTAGGCAAACATTTTATTCACTTCAATATTCGCCTTGTTCCTGTGCTTTTATTTCTTGCTCCAGCCTAGTTTATAACTTAAAATGAGTCTGCATAACAACCTCTTACACCGTAACCCAGAAAAGCACTCTTCCCATCATAAAATTACACTGCAATGATGTAACTCATTTTCCAACGCTACGCTACCCTAACTGAGACAGGCTTCAAGTAAGTTGTTGGCAAAGTCACCTAAACCTCAGGGAGCACAAATCAGCGTTCACAGAGAAGTTCTCCCACCAGATTAGCACTATTCAGGGGCTGTGTCCAGCTTCCGAATGGCACGTTTGCTCCAGAAATGTTACTTATATGTCACAACGTTACGCATGTGCTGCACTGTGACCGGTACTTACCATCGCTGCTCCCTCTGAGCACTACATCTGGAGACGGTGTCTGCTGCGAGCGGGAGCCGAAGGAGTCCAGACTGTCAAAGGAATCATCTCTGCCATGGCGAGGCGGGGAGAGGGAATCGCTGCGTTCAGAGTCCCAGCAGTCTATATAGCCGCTGTCACGAATGCTGCGCTTTGGGCTCTCAATATCCTCCGTTTCCTACATGGAAGTACAGCAGGTACCCCTTCATAAAGAAGCCACTGACACACCTGTGAGATCCATTACACATCAGACAACAAAGCATCTTCCCAAATACTAAAAATCTCCTCCCCAAAAAGGGTTTCCTTGTTTTCTGCCCCTTCTCCCCTTCAAAACAAAAGTGCAAGCTTGCAATAAACCCCAATTTTATGCTGATTAAGAAGAAACCCTGCTCATTAGATTAGTACAATGAACTGAGAAAAAGTTGCAATAGGCAAGTTAACAAACAGATCAGAACTGAAAGTAACCTGAAACTTGACTTGTCGTCCATAGTCCATAGCACAGGCAAAGGCACTACAATTTTAACATCGTGCCTGCATCAGGTTTAAGTCTGCTGCTTTCCAAAAGATCCCCCGCCTCCCCTTGCCCATCTATTGTATCTGGCCAGGACACCAGCAGACAGCATTTGTTGTTGCTGCTTCAGCTCGGCAAAATAATGAAGCAGTGTGCCCCAGCCTCCCTCTACCTTGAAGAGAAATTCCTGTTATGAAAGAGGGATGTCTTTCTGAAGCAATCAGCAATGAAAAATATGCAAAACGCTTTTCCTGATGCCTCAGAAGAATTCGGTTGTGCTCTTTACTCTTTGCCAGCTCCTGGCTCTGGGGGATATGAAAGCACTTGTAGCTGACCCACATGTTCAGAGCAGGGAGAACAATGGCTGTCTTTGACAGCCCTGTGATTATAAATTCTTTCCAGTGCAAGCAGCACATACTAAAACACTGAAACTCCAGCAGAGGAAAAGGTCAATAGAAGCCATCCTCACCCTTGCATTATAATAAATCCCTTGTTTTAGAGAGCATCTTAACATTAATTACAATCGCGCAGGCTGAGAAAAAACAAAAATAACTACTTTTATGCAAAGATAAATCTGTTTTTTTCTCCCCCGACAGTAAGTAAAGTCAGAGATGTGGGTGCCATTATCAGACTGACATTTTATGACCCAA